GTTGGTGTTCACAACAGACGGTCAGCAAGGACAGTAGGTGAACTGTTGGTGTTCACAACAGACGGTCACAGTGACAGCAAGGTGTATGAACTGTTGGTGTTCACAACAGACGGTCACAGTGACAGCAAGGTGTATGATCTGTTGGTGTTCACAACAGACGGTCACAGTGACAGCAAGGTGTATGAACTGTTGGTGTTCACAACAGACGGTCACAGTGACAGCAAGGTGTATGAACTGTTGGTGTTCACAACAGACGGTCACAGTGACAGCAAGGTGTATGATCTGTTGGTGTTCACAACAGACGGTCACAGTGACAGCAAGGTGTATGAATGTCACAGTGACGGTGACAGCAAGGTGTATGATCTGTTGGTGTTCACAACAGACGGTCACAGTGACAGCAAGGTGTATGATCTGTTGGTGTTCACAACAGACGGTCACAGTGACAGCAAGGTGTATGATCTGTTGGTGTTCACAACAGACGGTCACAGTGACAGCAAGGTGTATGATGTTGGTGTTGGTGTCACAGACGGACAGCAGCAAGGTGTATGATCTGTTGGTGTTCACAACGACGGTCACAGTGACAGCAAGGTGTATGAACTGTTGGTGTTCACAACAGACGGTCACAGTGACAGCAAGGTGTATGATCTGTTGGTGTTCACAACAAACGGTCACAGTGACAGCAAGGTGTATGATCTGTTGGTGTTCACAACAGACGGTCACAGTGACAGCAAGGTGTATGAACTGTTGGTGTTCACAACAGACGGTCACAGTGACAGCAAGGTGTATGATCTGTTGGTGTTCACAACAGACGGTCACAGTGACAGCAAGGTGAGGGTGTTGGTGTTCACAACAGACGGTGTGAACTGTTGGTGTTCACAACCGACGGTCACAGTGACAGCAAGGTGTATGATCTGTTGGTGTTCACAACAGACGGTCACAGTGACAGCAAGGTGTATGAACTGTTGGTGTTCACAACCGACGGTCACAGTGACAGCAAGGTGTATGAACTGTTGGTGTTCACAACCGACGGTCACAGTGACAGCAAGGTGTATGAACTGTTGGTGTTCACAACAGACGGTCACAGTGACAGCAAGGTGTATGAACTGTTGGTGTTCACAACAGACGGTCACAGTGACAGCAAAGGTGTATGAACTGTTGGTGTTCACAACAGACGGTCACAGTGACAGCAAGGTGTATGATCTGTTGGTGTTCACAACAGTCACGGTACAGGTTCATGAACTGTTGGTGAACGGTCACAGTGACAGCAAGGTGTATGAACTGTTGGTGTTCACAACAGACGGTCACACGGTCACAGTGACAGCAAGGTGTATGATCTGTTGGTGTTCACAACAGACGGTCACAGTGACAGCAAAGGTGTATGAACTGTTGGTGTTCACAACAGACGGTCACAGTGACAGCAAGGTGTATGATCTGTTGGTGTTCACAACAGACGGTCACAGTGACAGCAAGGTGTATGATCTGTCACAGATGACAGCAAGGTGTATCTGTTGGTGTTCACAACAGACGGTCACAGTGACAGCAGCAAGGTGTATGATCTGTTGGTGTTCACAACAGACGGTCACAGTGACAGCAAGGTGTATGATCTGTTGGTGTTCACAACAGACGGTCACAGTGACAGCAAGGTGTATGAACTGTTGGTGTTCACAACAGACAGTCACAGTGACAGCAGAAGATGTATGAACTGTTGGTGTTCACAACAGACGGTCACAGTGACAGCAAGGTGTATGAACTGTTGGTGTTCACAACAGATGGTCACAGTCACAGTGACAGCAAGGTGTATGATGTCACAACTGTATTGTTGGTGTTCACAACAGACGGTCACAGTGACAGCAAGGTGTATGATCTGTTGGTGTTCACAACAGATGGTCACAGTGACAGCAAGGTGTATGATCTGTTGGTGTTCACAACAGACGGTCACAGTGACAGCAAGGTGTATGAACTGTTGGTGTTCACAACAGATGGTCACAGTGACAGCAAGGTGTATGATCTGTTGGTGTTCACAACAGAAGGTCACAGCAAGGTGTATGAACTGTTGGTGTTCCCAACAGACGGTCACAGTGACAGCAAGGTGTATGATCTGTTGGTGTTCTCAACAGACGGTCACAGTGACAGCAAGGTGTATCAACTGTTGGTGTTCACAACAGACGGTCACAGTGACAGCAAGGTGTATGATCTGTTGGTGTTCACAACAGAAGGTCACAGCAAGGTGTATGAACTGTTGGTGTTCACAACAGACGGTCACAGTGACAGCAAGGTGTGTGATCTGTTGGTGTTCACAACAGACGGTCACATTGTCTACAAGGTGTGTTAACTGTTGGTTGGGGAGCACAACAGAAGTCCTAGTGACTGGGGGGCGTATGAACTGCGGCTCGTCTACACAGATAACTGTTGCTGGCAAAATCGGATCAAACGATATCCCGTAAGACTACATTGGAACTGAACGTACAAAACTGGACTACGTGGGAACAGGTTGCACAGAAGTACTGGATGCTAGAATGCATTGTGCAGAAATGTATCGAAATTCTCATATGAGTTCGAATAACAGATTCACCAAGAATGTGAATCTTGACATCCATAGAAGTGGGTTACACCTGTCCTGTACACCTCCATGACATGTCTCTTTAGGCCTTCCTCACACTGACTCGCCTCCATGTAAGTCAAATCTACGTTAAACTCACCATTTGTAAATAATATTATGTAGATATTACGGAGAGGGTGTACCCAATCCTTTTCTCATGAATAAAATATGTTTAAAGCAAAACAAACAAAACAAACTAACCATTCATTCATACATGCCCGAAGGCCATAGTTCAATTCTCCATATGGGCACCATGAGTGATGCCCATAATTGGGTATTGACGGATTATTTCTAAAAGCATCACAAAAACCATACTCACTCGTCCACCCCAGACCCACCCACCAACTCTTATCTGCAAGAAAAAATCAAATATACTTGATGACTTCAACGAATAAAGTGTGCTTAACACAATGTGAACAACTGTGGCACTCTCATCTCGCCAGATATCAACGTCCAGGTGCGCTTTGATCACGACATCGCTATTTGATGTTAGATGGGGAATATGCAGATCAATGGAGAGGAGCGTAATGGATTGTGTAATTGGCTCTTCGTTCTAGATGGCTGACTGATGCAACATTGACGCTAACACTACTGTTGCTGTTCCCACACACGGGAGGCGCCCGCACCGAGGACAAATCACGGGCATTGCAGGTATCTGTAAAGCGAATAGATGGACTCCTGGGTTAAAATTGGTCTCCAGTAGCCGATGCTACGAGGATACTCAGCTGCAAGGTCAGACTCAACGGCGTGGCTGATTGCGTTACATCGTACTCCAGCGTTGTTCATGGCGTCAATCACAGGCTTGCCAGGTCCACTCTGATTGTTTAAGTCACCTGCTGAGTTCGGCGTTCAACAACATTCCAGTTGTACAGCTAACGAACTGAAAAGCAGCTTCTCCATATATACAAATGTTTGTGATGTTGTCAGGAAGTTCAAGCCACAGATGAACTTCATTACCATGTTATTCATTCATTCATTCATTCATTCATTCATTCATTCATCCACCCATCCACCATTCATTCATTCATTCATTGTGTGATTTTGTTTGTGTAATTTACCGAACTTGCCCGAAACAGTGTCCGACGTACTACTGGCATGAGCTGGATTTGCTTGTCACATTTCAAAAGCCAATTCGTCATTGTTTTGGACAAATGTTCTTTACATGTATTTCCTGTTGATTGTTTGTGTCATTGATTTTGTACATGACAAAAAATCACCCCCAACCCTCCACCCAAAGCCATAACTTATGTCTTCGTACCTTAACGTGTAATTTCGCTGTACCTGTATTTATTATTCGCATGCATCTATGTGCGGCATCAAAGAACATTCACACACCCATTCCGGTAAAACTGGAGATGGGACGGCCAGTACTGTAACAACGTGGCGTGATGCAAGGAAATGGGATTTATATGGAATTTAACAATAAAGTAGTAATTATCTCTACAGGGGATACCAAAATTAATCTTCACCGTACTTGTGTTTACTAAATCATTATTACAAAACGATTTCAAACAAAAAGGCCGGTAAACTGTCTCAATCTCAAGTAGTTCCTGATGAAACAACTGGTTTTTCCTCCCGTATAATGGTCGAAGTAGTTTCAAGTAAATTAAAATTCGATGTGTAAGAAAATGGATATTGTTTTTTTTCTTGTGGTCTAATTGAAAATTGATTCATCAAGAACAATATACCGTACCTCGTGACGGCAATACTGAAACAGTCCATTATCAATCTGCATCAAGTCTGGAGCGGGAGATGAAGTGATTTAAGCCACGGTATTATACGTTAAACAAACATGTGAATGAGATGCATGCCACCTTAAAAAGACAGACATCTTCTAATAAATTCATCATGTTTGGAACGAGCTACTTATGTCAACTATCCACAAGCCCTGTGGCAGTTACAGGATCGCTATATCACATTAGAGAGTAGTGATGTATTAGACTCTTATGAGACAATAGGAGCCCTCGGAACGCTCAACACAGGTGAAACCAGTCTGGTCGGCTCACACCCAGTCCACGCATACACAGATTCACTATCACGCCTTCAACGAAAATACTCACCAAAGTTTAGCTAAAAGGACTTTAATGGCATTTATGGATTGCTAGAGTGTTGTGGATGATGCGAGAGTCCTCACCGTAATTAACATTGATTACGGGAATGGTTAACAAAGTTATAACAGTGGGAAGTTCTTCGTATGGTACCTTTTATCCGGCTACTTGTGCGTGTTAGAGGGCCAATTATTGCACGCGCAATCTGTAACAATAGAGATCGATGGCGGTATATTAATTGATAATGTCTACTTGTAGGAAATACTCATATAAAAATCTCAGCAATGTCATAAATCTCAGACAGAGTTTCAGCCTGGCGAGTTTGAAACGTTTAAAGTCACAGGGGCAATTGTTATATATGTTGATGATGCAGGAAAAGGAGGAACCGAGCTCTCGAACGTCCGGCCGCAACTCTGTGGACGAGAGGGAAGATAATTTGGGAGGAGAAGAAACCACAAAATCTCACTTCTTATCTATTGATGACATTCTGAAAGATAAGCACACAGACACGGGTAACAGCGACAACTCTCGAAACGACTTAAAAAAGTATGACGTTGCAATGCCGTCGCTGCGAGTACCGGAAGTGACGGATACATGTGTGACCGGTTCATGTGTGGACAGTCCAAGGCCGGATGTGTTTGGTTCCAGTCTTCCCTCGCTGGACTACATGGCATACGCCCGTCCCCCACAGGTCCTGCCCTACCCCTACACGCTAGCCAGGCCCTTTGGGGTCTTCCAGTCCACATCTTGGCTGTGTCAGTCGCTGTATCAGAGGCAGGCATACATAGAAGGTAAACCTGAATTGACATACAGACTAAGAATATGCATCCAGTTTAATGTACAATACATACAGATTACACAAACGGGGTGCATGTAAGGTATGCTAATCCGACTATATTTAAAGACCTACAAATAGCCGCGTTTCTGGTTTGAGATGACAAGTTCTGTATGTGACAATGGTGTTTTTCTAAACATGAAGAGAATGAACTCAACTGTGTTTGAGTTTGACTCATGAAGCTCTTACCTTTTCTTCTCAGCCCAGAGAAGCTCTCGGCGTCAGCGAAGGGTGAACATCGACCGGAAGCCGCGACAGGCGTATTCAACAAAACAACTGGAGAGGCTAGAGGAAGAGTTTAAGGTAATCTCGGTGTGAGTTTCCTTCAAGACCCGCTTACGGTTCAGTGCTGACAAACAGCTCCTGTAATGATGGAGACGAGATACAAAAGAAACCCCTTCCCATAACGTCGTTTCACTCCGCCAATTGACGTCATGCTCTAACGGCCTTTATTACAATGCCTGGAGTCCCAAATGGAAGTGTACACCTTTTAAATGGTATTTTCTTTCGGGACGAACTAAATTGTTGTTCTTTTTTAAACACTTTATGTTCATGTTAAAAAAGTTGTTAATGTAATCTCAAAAATCAAACCCAGATGTGTTGTATCACCCTGTCTTTATATATTAAACGCGTTAGTTTGTTTGAACATATTGTATTCAATGTTGAAATGGATTGGACACAAGTTATGTAACTTATTACCGTCCGCTCCCATCAGAAACATGGACAATAATGAATGGACGTAATGAATGGACATAATAATTTTAAGACATATCATTCATTAACCGAAGCGCTTACTTCGTACAATGTATTTATGCACATGTCTTAAGATATTTTCATTAATAGTATTTGGCAGAGCAGGGTTGCCGTAAAGAATGGTATCAATGTCTAAGTGAACTTTTGATAGTTAAAAGTCTTGCTTCAGATCAAAACGGCAATAGAAATTTTGGACATTTTAAAAAGAAATGGTTAGCATCTTCCACCGGAGCACCTGAATTGCAAGCTTTACTCTCTAATAAATTAACACGAAAAAGATCTGCATGTAATGAACTACACGAATGTCTTAACTTCGTGTGTAATATATTTATCTTTCTTTCACCAAATAGAAAATATTTTTCAGATAACTTTGATTTAAACGATGATAATATATTTGTACATTTTGTTGTTTTTACATCTTGTTCTGCAACACGAACTGAAGTGTCGTCGGCAAACAGTCTTGTGACATTTGTTAGATTTCACTGTCGATTCGCTCTCTGTCATTGTATGTTACATAAGTTAAACAAATGTCTGATTATGTCGTGTATGAAAGGTGTTCTGGACAGAAACAACACTTCACTTTTATTGCCCTCCGTTGCAGACCGACCGTTACCTGAGCGTCATTAGGTGAGAATACGAGTTGTCCAATACACCTGTATATACTCCCCCAGACTCAGATAAAGAGCAACATTGTGTGTACGTACAGGAGTTAATATATCAGCTGTATATATATAACCCTATACCCCCACCCTCGTGAACCGGAGTGTTAATATATCAGCTGTATATCCCCATACCCCACCCTCAGAGCAACATTAGGTGATTGTACGTACGGAGTGTTAATATATCAGCTGTATATACCCTATACCCCCACCCTACCAACCCAGTCTCCTTCTCAGAGCAACATTAGGTGATTGTACGTACGGAGTGTTAATATATCAGCTGTATATACCCTATACCCCCACCCTACCAACCCGGTCTCCTTCTCAGAGCAACATTAGGTGATTGTACATACGGAGTGTTAATATATCAGCTGTATATACCCTATACCCCCACCCTACCAACCCGGTCTCCTTCTCAGAGCAACATTAGGTGACTGTACGTACGGAGTGTTAATATATCAGCTGTATATACCCTATACCCCCACCCTACCAACCGGTCTCCTCCTCAGAGCAACATTAGGTGATTGTACGTACGGAGTGTTAATATATCAGCTGTATATACCCTATACCCTCACCCTACCAACCCAGACTCCTTCTCAGAGCAACATTAGGTGACTGTACGTACGGAGTGTTAATATATCAGCTGTATATACCCTATACCCCCACCCTACCAACCTGGTCGCCTTCTCAGAGCAACATTAGGTGATTGTACATACGGAGTGTTAATATATCAGCTGTATATACCCTATACCCCGACCCTACCCACCGGGTCGCCTTCTCAGAGCAACATTAGGTGACTGTACGTACGGAGTGTTAATATATCAGCTGTATATACCCTATACCCCCACCCTACCTACCCGGTCTCCTTTCAGAGCAACATTAGGTGACTGTACGTACGGAGTGTTAATATATCAGCTGTATATACCCTATACCCCCACCCTACCACCGGGTCTCCTTCTCAGAGCAACATTAGGTGATTGTACGTACGGAGTGTTAATATATCAGCTGTATATACCCTATACCCCTGACCCTACCAACCGGGTCTCCTTCTCAGAGCAACATTAGGTGATTGTACGTACGGAGTGTTAATATATCAGCTGTATATACCCTATACCCCCACCCTACCTACCCGGTCTCCTTCTCAGAGCAACATTAGGTGATTGTACGTACGGAGTGTTAATATATCAGCTGTATATACCCTATACCCCCACCCTACCAACCCTGGACCCTTCTCAGAGCAACATTAGGTGACTGTACGTACGGAGTGTTAATATATCAGCTGTATATACCCTATACCCCACCCTACCCACCTGGTCAGCTCCCCTACCCTCAGAGCAACATTAGGTGATTGTACGTACGGAGTGTTAATATATCAGCTGTATATACCCTATACCCCCACCCTACCAACCCGGTCTCCTTCTCAGAGCAACATTAGGTGACTGTACGTACGGAGTGTTAATATATCAGCTGTATATACCCTATACCCCCACCCTACCAACCTGGTCGCCTTCTCAGCGCAACATTAGGTGATTGTACATACGGAGTGTTAATATATCAGCTGTATATACCCTATACCCCGACCCTACCCACCGGGTCGCCTTCTCAGAGCAACATTAGGTGACTGTACGTACGGAGTGTTAATATATCAGCTGTATATACCCTATACCCCCACCCTACCTACCCGGTCTCCTTTTCAGAGCAACATTAGGTGATTGTACATACGGTGTGTTAATATATCAGCTGTATATACCCTATACCCCCACCCTACCAACCTGGTCGCCTTCTCAGAGCAACATTAGGTGATTGTACATACGGAGTGTTAATATATCAGCTGTATATACCCTATACCCCCACCCTACCCACCGGGTCGCCTTCTCAGAGCAACATTAGGTGACTGTACGTACGGAGTGTTAATATATCAGCTGTATATACCCTATACCCCCACCCTACCTACCCAGTCTCCTTCTCAGAGCAACATTAGGTGATTGTACGTACGGAGTGTTAATATATCAGCTGTATATACCCTATACCCCCACCCTACCTACCCGGTCTCCTTTTCAGAGCAACATTAGGTGATTGTACATACGGTGTGTTAATATATCAGCTGTATATACCCTATACCCCCACCCTACCAACCTGGTCGCCTTCTCAGAGCAACATTAGGTGATTGTACATACGGAGTGTTAATATATCAGCTGTATATACCCTATACCCTCACCCTACCAACCCGGTCTCCTTCTCAGAGCAACATTAGGTGACTGTACGTACGGAGTGTTAATATATCAGCTGTATATACCCTATACCCCCACCCTACCAACCCAGTCTCCTTCTCAGAGCAACATTAGGTGACTGTACGTACGGAGTGTTAATATATCAGCTGTATATACCCTATACCCCCACCCTACCTACCCGGTCGCCTTCTCAGAGCAACATTAGGTGACTGTACGTACGGAGTGTTAATATATCAGCTGTATATACCCTATACCCCCACCCTACCTACCCGGTCTCCTTTTCAGAGCAACATTAGGTGACTGTACGTACGGAGTGTTAATATATCAGCTGTATATACCCTATACCCCCCCACCCTACCAACATTAGGTGATTGTACGCCTTCTCAGAGCAACATTAGGTGATTGTACGTACGGAGTGTTAATATATCAGCTGTATATACCCTATACCCCCACCCTACCTACCCGGTCTCCTTCTCAGAGCAACATTAGGTGATTGTTCACTGAGAGTGTTAATATATCAGCTGTATATACCCTATACCCCCACCCTACCAACCCGCTCCTTCTCAGAGCAACATTAGGTGACTGTACGTACGGAGTGTTAATATATCAGCTGTATATACCCTATACCCCCACCCTACCTACCCGGTCTCCTTCTCAGAGCAACATTAGGTGATTGTTCATAGAGAGTGTTAATATATCAGCTGTATATACCTTATACCCCCACCCTACCAACCCAGTCTCCTTCTCAGAGCAAGATTAGGTCGCCTGAAGAAAGTGGAATTACTCAGATTCGTGCGAATTTCGAGGGTTGGCTGGAATACAATGTATTCAGAATAACAGAATAACAGAAGTTGGAATATTCTGCACATAAGGACCTACGTTGACGGATCTGGTAATATGTTCCCAACATAATGCCCTCCAAGGTCCACACACTTCTGCTAACGATGCTGTATCCCTTGATCCCACCCTACCTACCCGGTCTCCTTCTCAGAGCAACATTAGGTGATTGTTCATAGAGAGTGTTAATATATCAGCTGTATATACCTTATACCCCCACCCTACCAACCCAGTCTCCTTCTCAGAGCAAGATTAGGTCGCCTGAAGAAAGTGGAATTACTCAGATTCGTGCGAATTTCGAGGGTTGGCTGGAATACAATGTATTCAGAATAACAGAATAACAGAAGTTGGAATATTCTGCACATAAGGACCTACGTTGACGGATCTGGTAATATTTTCCCAACATTATGCCCTCCAAGGTCCACACACTTCTGCTAACGATGCTGGAGTTCCTTGATCCCACACGCTTCATCACGGTGGTTTCTACATCATCTGCTGCATACTGCTTGTCAGATAGGTCTTTCTTCAAATGTGGGCATGGTCGGAAATCTGACGGTGCCAAATTAAATGCATACAGTGCATGTTCTTTGGGTTAAAGACTAGTAATTGCGGCCATCTTAGCAACAGACTTGCGGTCAGGTGCATTGTCACCCGTGACGATCCAGTTATAGCGAATGCAGCGTTATGTTAACTCACATGTAATTACATGCACATTGAGCAAACACAGGTGTGCACTATACAGATATTCTTCACTGACCTTGACCTCTGTCTAGACCCGAACGATTTGTCTGTAACAACACTCGAAAACGCCGAAGATATGGAGTCCCAGCTTAAATTTGGTAGGGTTAGTAAGCTTAAAGGTGAAGATACTTGGTATTTGCGTATATCCTGGCCCACCGTTAAACCACATACAAAGGTAAATTATTTGTTCACCCGAAGAAACACAAGAACACAGAAGTAGCACCGGACAGTTCAAACTCGAACATATCTACAATCACGACCAATGAATACCTTAAAGAATCAGAAAGTAGGACGCGATTGGACGCATGCTTTATGATATCTCGATATTAGTGACTGGTAGACACAAATGGCTGGAGCTGCTGGAATATTGCTCGTCAAGTTAAAATGACCTTGTGGGGGCTTCTCTGTCACTCTGGATCTTTATGTGTGTATCTAAATATGAGACACACGAGGCGCCCCACTGGTCACCTCTATTTGATGTTCAGGAGGGTAAATCAGTGGAAGGGAATTGGCTGTTCAGTACCTAAAAGAAATGATCGTATTGTCCGCTAATGGAATATGGTAACCTCACACGCCCCTTGGTTGTATTTTTGTCATGATATTCACTTCGTTTCACTATGGCAAACGTTAGATAGCGCGTGCAAGCGTCACTAAAACTGAAAATATAAAAATCAAGAAGACAATGTCATCAATATCCACCCCAATGGTAAAATACTCTTCACGAATATGTCAACTAGCTATGACGATGTCTCACGAAAACATATAAATGCAAACTATTCATATACTAGCATGCTTGTATCAACAACAGACTGCCTTAGTGCTTCCACGGTTTAATGTACCCCAGTAGTGTTGATGCTGGAAATAGAGTGGTACTGTTGATTTATGTCAATAGGTTCTTGAATGAAGGAAGGAGAGTATTGAAAAATTAAAGTTCTGCTCCGGAAAGGAGCACTACCACCAATTTCAGTCAAAGAAAAACCTGTTGCCATGGAAACGCGATAAATATTAAATATTATCTATGTGCCAAGTTTGGTGAAGAAATATTGAACAGTTTTAAAGTTCTGCTCCGGAAAAGGAGAATTTGCTTGGGCGGACGTACGGAATCCAAAATAATACCCCCGCGGGGGATGAAAATCATAAACCAATACCTGTTAGTGAATACTAACCAACTTGAAAATATCAACGATGTCGACTTTGTATATCGTTAGGGCGATGTTTGC